CATTAGTACATCAGCCAAAGCATCCAGCGTGATGAAGTCACATGAAAAACCGGACTTTGAATGTTATAAATGTTATAGATAAATAATCAGGTCTGTGATATATTTACATTTAACCAAATCGGGGAAGAACATGTAGACCGGACTCGACTGAGTGGCGGAAATCGAGCCTACAGCAAGGAGTAAAACAACAAACCCAGAAAAAAATAATATTACCCTCGACCCTCGACATGGGACCCTTGACCCTCGACCCTTGACAAAAAGATAGACTCGGGGACAAGGCAACAGCTACACAATAGTCAAAATGCTGAGACAGATTTTCAGCGAGCAGGGGATTCCCAAGGTAGGAAGATCTGATAATGGGCCCCACTACAATGGTCAAGCATTCCAAGATTTTCCAAGAGAACTGGGTTGAAGAAGAAGAAGATATTATTAAGGTTTCCAGCATTTGACAAGCTCCCCACACTATCCATGTAGCAATGGTTTTATTGAGAGCCAAGTAAAATCAGTTAAAGCTGCTCTTTTCTAACCAAACACCACCCACAGAGACCCTGACATGGCCCTCCTGTGCCTGAGAACCACACCCATAGATGACAAACTGCCATCACCTGCTGAACTACTCCTTGGTCAATCAATCCAGGACAACCTCCCAAGGAAAATTCCTGGAGACGCCTTGAGTAAAGTAGTTGTCCCCAGTCTAGAGGAGAGGAAGGAGCTGCAAAAATTCTACCATGACAGGTCTGTGAGGTAACTTCATAAATAACACCAGGGCAAAGAGTAACTACCTACGATCAAACGTCACTGAAATGGAAACCAGCTGAAGTGAGAGAAAAGCTTGCAGGAGTTCCCTGAATGCTGGGACAACCCCAACTGGAAGAGAACTGAGGTGCACTAGAACCCATATATGGCTGGCCCCTCAGAGCAACATAGAAGTGGAACCAGACACAGGGGAACAAACTGTGGTACAAGCTGCCACCAAACCAACTGTTGCAATTTCAGTTTCCCAAAGAATCAAGCCACCGCACTCCCAGGCAGTTATGTAACTCGGACTGGCAGGATTAGCAAGCCCCTGGAAAGACTGCACATGTAACTTGCTCTGTGCTTAACAGTGCTGATGTGCTTACAAAGGAACTTTTATTGTTGACTTATAGCTTATGTTCCTTTGTTCAGTGGAGTTGTTATTTTGTTTGCTGTTATAACTCACCTCATCAGGAGGAGAGGGATGTGATGGTATACACCTCAAATGCAGTTCCAGTGACGTAAGCAGCATGTGAACCATCATGCCTTGCGATCTTTCACATGTAGTTCATGCCATGTTGTTTAGATATTAAAAAGCAAATAAGAAGTTCTATCCCCTCCTGCATAGCTCGTGGCTATTACAGTAATAATGACACTCGATGATTAGGGATCATTTGCAGACTTCTTAATCACTCAATGCTGTGGAAAAAATTAGTGAGAAGTTTTGGCACTGTTCTTGCCGCTTTATTGGGTCCTCAAGGAAGAATATAATACTCACATGCAGTAAAATTGTGAGAGCTCTAGGCCATGATGTCGCTCTACTGCATGTTAGGGGCCGGTCAAAAATATTGGGGGGGTCGGTAAGAGCCGGGGGTTTAAATTTTTAAACATTTAAATTTTGTACGCATCGAGCCAATATATAGATGAGATAAAATCAAAAACTTCTTAGTCCTGTTTTGTGTCTTTATATAAAATGTAACTTATAAAATGTGAATCTGTACGCAAAGTAACCCCAAGTCTAACAGAATGAGCAAGCAGGAGTCCCAGTGCAGAAATTTTCCAACTGACTATGCTCTTTCAACATGTTAGTCTCCCAGGACACCAAGTGATCAACTTGTGTCTACAAGCTATTTATCCACAAGGGTACGGGACTTGTTCATGGCAACCTCGTTCCCAGGGTCTCTCATCTTCCCACCTGAGGAGGGCGGGAGGATGAGAGGTTGGGAAGGAGGTTGGTTTGCTGGCTGTGTGAGTCTCAGGACTCACTACAACCTTTGTCTAGATGGATAACTATTCCACGGGAAGCGAGGCCAGAGGAAGAGGATGGAAGTGTTATGGTCAAGGTTTTTGTACAGTTTACAGACATGACTTGAAAGTTGCAAGAGTAAAGGAAAACAATGTTATTATTAGATCCTTTTGTGTTATTGTAAAGAAATATATCTAAAACGTAAATTTCACCACAAGTTAATGCACAAAAATTTATGTGATTTAGTAGGATTATGCAACCAAAAATGTCATGTTTTATAGGGGATGGGTCGAGTAATTTTTCACCTTCATTGAGGGGTGGGTCACCCTGTTTTGTGCCAAATGGTAGGGTGGCTCAAGTGTGTTCTATCCACCACAGTTTCAAATGCTCTGGCCCATCTTAGATTTTATTTAATAATCCTCTTCATTTTAAACCATATCTTTGTTCCTACTTAGGTTGTATTTATATTCTTTTTTTTATTTCCATCTTTTTATTGTAAATTAAAACGGATGTTTTGAATTCTATTTTTAATAAAGACCATAATTTAAAAAAGACCTTGTTAAATAATTTCCTGTCCAAATGATGCCTCTCTGATAAAAAACCTCACTGAAACCCCTGCTTTAAGTCATGTCAATTTCTATTCACTTTAATGAAACATGCAGTCATGTAATAAGATCTCTCCTCATCAGATGCAAATGGAGATACAGCTTCACCATCCTCTTCAGATTACACAGAAGCAGACAGTGACAGGAAAGGAGATTCAGCAACAGCTGGACCAAGAGGTTTGTGTTTCTTTGTGTTCAATACATACTGACTTTGCAATGGATGTGTGCACTGATCATGGTGCAGAAGAG